ACACAGCCTGTTGCTCCAGGCATCGTTTTTTAAAACTGACAGGCTGTGGTAAAGTCTTGCTTAAGCTTCCGGTGCAGGCTACTGATATGAGGTTGGGATCACGAAGGAAGATAAATGTATTAATACACCCAAATCTCACAAGACTGCATTTTTTTTCTGTCCCTGGGAGTTTGCAAGTCGGTTATTTTTGTTAGAGAATTGTAATTGCTTGAATTGAACATCAGTTAAGACACGTCAGCTTAGCTCTACATTAATGTTGTCCTGTTATATTTTTTAAATGGCAGTAAGGAGGCGAGGTTTTTTCAGTGTAAAACCAGGAGAATTCAGAGCTGTATCGGGAGGATTGACCAAAAATGTTTTGTTTTTCTCGTTGTCTTGTTAAACACTAATTAAACCTCTTCAAACCTTTATTGGATCGGGCTTTCCGGTTATCTGACCAAATACAGAAGTGTCGCCTTCGTGTCCGAATGAGCACCTTAAACACTTTTACGGTAAAGCTACCACGGGTGGGGCCTTTGCAATATTTGAATATAACTTTCCACTTACAACAAGTCAGGATGCATTCCATCAGATTAATAAAAACTAACACATGAAATTACAGCATGCAGACCTGCCTCTCGTAAATCTTGAGTCTCTAAAAGACTGTTAGGGAGAACAGCCTCACTGGGGTTAGTCAAAAACTGACTGTTACACTGTGATCTCTGACACAGTTATATATGTTAAACAGGCTTTTTTCTGCACACACAACGACCTGAATATGACAAAACATCATAGGAATAGTTGGTTGCTGGAGGTGCATACAGCAGTCTCCACCATTCATATTTTCCTTATAATATAATAATAATAATAATAATAATAATAATAATAATAATAATTTTATCTATAGGCACCTTTCACCCACCTTACAATAACACAAGAACAATAGCAGCAATAAAATATAATAAACATGGCAAAATAAAATTTAGACATGAGGTAAAAAACCTTTGACTTCTAATTTTACTTCTATTCAAGACATGAAATGTTACTAGAATACAATGTTTTGTGTTGAAGACAGAGCCTTTAATAGATCAGATTAATAACGCTCATCAGTAATGCTCATAATATTCGTAGTGATAACTGCATGTCAAAATGACCCAAAGTTATTTAGTTGCTTCCAGCTGATCATAGAAGTCTTTCTTCTGGGATTATTACATATCTACAGCACCAGAATCCATACACTAACATTTCCAAAGAGAGAGAGATGATCTTGCTTTAAATGTGGCTACTGCAACATAAACATTTAAAAATAACTAAAAAGAAACTAAGAGGAAACTGTCCTCAACACAAAAACAGGATCGATCAGGCTCTAACAGCCAGATAATGTTCTATACTTCACTCTGTGCAGCTGTTAGAGTGACAAAGGTTATCTGATCGGTTGATTAAAATGTACTAAAATGTGTATGGGTGTTCGTCTATATAACTACGAATGGCCACTTCATTAGGTACATCTGTTCATCTGCTCATTAACACAAATATCTAGTCAGCCAATCACGTGGTAGCAAATGTGCTTTTAAGTATGTATACAAAGCGAAGATGACCTGCTTGAAGTACAAACTGAGCATCTGATTGGGGGACAAAGGGGATTTAAGTGACTTTGAATGTGGCGTGGTTGTTGGTGCCAGACAGGCTGGTCTGAATATCTCAGAAAGTGCTGATCTACTGAGTTTTTCAGCCCATAACCATCTCTAGGATTTACAGATAATGGTCTGGAAAAGAGAAAACATCCTGTGAGCTGCAGCTCTCTGGGTGAAAATGCCTTGTGGCAGTCAGAGATTCCAGACTGCTGAAAGGTGAGAGGAAGGCAACAGTAACTCTACCACTGTTACAGCCAAGGTATGCAATAGAGCACCTCTGAATGCACAACATGCCCATCCCTGAAGCAGATGGGCTATAGCAGCAGAAGGCCACACTGGGTCCCACTTTGCCCTCATCAGTCTTGATTTCTGCTGCAACACTGAGATGATATAAACAACACGAAAGCATGGATGCATCCTGCCTTGCATCAGTGTTTCAGGTGGTGTGAGGGATACTTAATTGGTACACTCAGTACCAGCTGAGCATTATTTAACACCACAGCCCATCTGAGTGTTGTTACTGACCATGTTGATGCCTTGATCATAGCATACCCTTTTTATACACCATGTCACAAAACTCATATCATCTCAAGGGAATTCAAGGGAATCTTCTTGAACATGACAATGAGTTCATTGTACTCCAAAGTCAGCCAACTGAGCATCTGAGGAGTGTTTCCAGCAACCGCTGAGGTAGGGGGGCCAACCCAGTGCTAGCATGTGTACCCAATAAAGTGGTGAGTGAGTGTACATCTAAAAGACAGAAAGCTATTGCCGCAATGAGAAAATCAGCAATGTTGTATTGCTGAAAAGTGTTTTTATAGTGATTAAAGTAACACACTGAATTAATATTCTGTTATTTGCTACTCATTTGCACAATCCACATGTGATCCATAAAACAAGGTATACAAGTCTATTTAAAGTGTAGGCGGTGGGGTGTTTCCTTTGATTCCTGTTTATATTAAACGCTGTTCCTTCAGTCTCTCTGGAATGGCAGCGTTATGTGTAGGAGGTTATGTGTGAATGACGGAAACCTCTGCCTTTTCTGAATATTTGAACCTGTCATGTTACAGGTTTCATGTGAGAAAATGGGCTAAAAGGTGTCAGTCTGTCACCTTCCCACAACTCAGAGCAGCCATTCCAGCAATCAGTTTTAGCTGCACTGATGGCTTTAATGATTGAATGAAAACAAGAGTCTCAGTTGGCATGACTAAGATGATTGTGCAAAACATTTTTAGCACACTAAAAAAGATCAAAAGATCAGGTCACACTTATCAGTGGCAGATAACCTCACTGGTTGTTTTTCGCCTATATTTTCCCCGTCTGCATGTCGTGCGTCTCGCTGTTAAAGAAAACTGAAAAACAGTAAAATGCTTTTTATTTCCCATGCCTTTTTTAAGGTCAATATAATCTAGAGATCTAATTTTAATTACATTTCACTTAAAAAAATGTTTTTAAAATGTTTGTGTATGGAAAATATGTGAGCGTTATGTTTCTAGAGAGAAGTCTGATGGGGAAAAAATCATAAAAGTAGGCAAGAACAAAGCTCGCTGGCAAGTTACAGCAGTGTTTACCTTTAACTGCATCGTACACAAAAGATCACGCTAACCACAGATAAACAGTGAATTTAACAAGAATATGCTTGTGTAATAGTGGGAATATCTGGAAAAACAGGTAAACAGGTGTTGCTGGACCTTGTAGACACTGAGGCAAATTTCTGTGTAGTTTAGATACTGGTGTTTATAAGGAGTGTTTATGGGATTAAGCTTTCCACCATTAGTCTGTGGTGCAAATGTTCAATAAATTGCTTGAAAAAAATCTAAGGGCTCATTTTTTCTAGGAAATACACAGGCAGTGTTGGAACTGCTGTCCTGTGCAAACTTGTTCAAGCTCTGAACTTGATCCAAATTTCACTCACACTCCCATTTTTCCTTTGAAAACCACTTATGCCAAAACAGAGGTAACAGAGCAGTCAGCAGTCCAGCACTGAACATGGTCGACGGTAGCAGAAGCACAAACAGAAACTGAGATGGCCCTGGCGCGTTGCCTGTTTTCATGCCCGTGCACAAATAATTGAACTCTTTGGAAAGTGGGTGTGAGAGTCTGGGAAACTCAGCCAGGTAGTAAAGTATTTTCACACCATTGCAAACTGAACAACTTGGCAGAAGTTCCTCTGTTTTTAAATGATTTTTAGTTTAAAGAACTCCGTAGTGCTGTTTATCTTCGCTGATTTTGCTTTTGTGTTTGTTTTGATCATCCCTAAATCAATAAATTGTGTCAAATTAAAGCCTTGCTTTGTTTCAAAGGTTGATTCATTTCCTGCCAACTCTAGAAATGTTCCAGGACGTTTGTTCACTCTCTACGGAGTGCGAGGCAGATCTCACTGGACACTTTCACCATTTCCACCTGTTCAAGTGCCCATTAATACAAATATCTAATCAGTCAATCACATGGGAGCAACTCTGCATTTAGAGATGTAGAGATAGTCAAGACAAACTGAGTATCGAGGTATGCAAAAGAGCACGTCAATGCACTCACCAGTTGAACTCAACTGATTTGATGGGCTACAGCAGCAGAGGACATTACTGGATGCTACAGCTTTCAGCTAAGAGCAGGAAACTGAGATTAAAGCCAGCGTGAGGTCAGATTTAGGCATAAACAGCATGAAAGCAATTATCCATCTGGTCTTGTATCAACACTTCATCCTGCTGGTGTTGGTGTAAGGATGTTGGTACACTTTGGGCCTCTTACCACCAACTGAGCATCATTTCAGCACCGCAGCATTGCTGTTAACGATGTCCACACCATGACCACACTGCACCAATCAAAGTTTACAGTAAGATAATGCACCATGTAACAAGGTCCAGATCATCTTAATCTGGTTTCTTGAAAGTGACAATGAGTTCACTGTACTCAAATCAGCTCCAGAGTTTCTCAGTTCAACAGAGCCCCTTTGGGGTGTGATGGAACAGGAGATTCACATCATAAAAGTGTAGTTTGACGCTGTCGTGTCTGTATATACCAAAATAAGTAAAGCCCACTTGTTTTGCCTGATATTCTCTGTTTTTTATCAGAATACGATCATTTGATCTCGGGTAAACTGCAGATTATAGTGTGGTCTATAACATATTAGTAAATAGAGAGATTTTACAGGAAAATAATAGGGTGGCATTCCCAGCATAAAGGTTCATTTAAAAATAACTTAAATAAATAAATAAAAATAATATTTTATAGCTTCATTGGCTGGGCATGTCTGCAGGACCACATAAATTGTAGTCTCCCGCCTTCTAGTGGCTCTGTCAAAGAAAAGCAAATTCCACCGGTTTTTGTTTGCGTAACTGTGGGCGAGCTCCTCCCACCAGGCCACAGACTATTGGTTAATACTCTAAGCAAAACCACGTGGTTGGTCAGTGGGTGCTGTCCGTTAAACCTGTACGGAACAGTTTCCACACGCCCGATTGTTGTGTAAGCGTCTCTCCCACCCTTGAACCTGCGGTAAGTATCACCTAGACGAAGCTCAGGCTGTAGTGAATGTGTGAAAAGGGAAAATAACTTTGTGTTTTCCTCAGTCATGCCGACGTCACCTGTTAAAACGAGGATCCCCCTCACCAGCTTTGGACACTTGGTAACAGAGGTGAAGGTAGGAAGGGGGCTTGATCCGGGGATTTCCAGGTGAAATGAAACGGTGCATGCGGTGGAGGGGGATTTAGCTGTAACAGAGTGGATATGAAGGGGTTTAAAAGACAAACGGGAGGGGGGGTCTATAATAAACATTAAGGGGGGTCTTAATGTTTAGGTTATCATTTATGTGTTATAGTGTCATCAGTAAGCAGCAATAGCAGTTACCTTTGTCCTGCTTTGTCTTCTTTGATGGATCTGCCCAGTGAATGAAGCACATTTCCACAAGCAGCACAACGTCTTCATTACCTTTGACTTTATTATGTAAGAATGTATTTGGCTGCTATTCTGTACAAGTGAAATTCAACTGAAAGAGGCAGGAAACAGACCAGCTATTAAAAGAATATACAGAGGGCAACAAAAAAGACGGATCCTTAAAACTTGGGCTAAAAACAGTCCATGGAAACTAAAATCATCCAAAAATCCCAGTAAGACTTACATCATACATGCCTGTAACTGTACTACAGACAGATTAAACAATGAATGGGGTTGTGGGGAATTTCCTTAAAGATCAGAATCTGCACCAGGAGGACCCGGGGCCCCACTGCACAAGTGTTAGGTCTGAAATTCGTGTCTGAGGATTTCATCCTGGAACCTAAAAGCAGTCAGGGCACCGCCGGCTAACACGTGGAGGTCTTCTCAGACGCACTGCTAAAAAACGGTCATGCAGGAAGATGTTGCATAATTCAGCTGCATCTGCAGGCTCTTTCACATCTGTCATATGTGCTCAGTGAGTAAAGAGAATGCAGCACCAGAGGCGCACCTGCCAGCTGTGCTAGGTGAGCTGCACAGAGCAGGTCCCACCGAGTCACAATGGCTTTTGCTTCCTGACTGGACTGATCGATATGCCTGAAGTGTTACTGTGATGATGGATCAGACTAGAGAGTTTGGGGGTTTTTTTTTAGATTATAAAATAAAGACCTGTTTATTAGCCTCTTAAATGTCAATGTAAATTGTTTATTTATTTGTTTGTTTGTTTGTTTGGTGGCATTTATAATTTCTTAGTACCTTCTAGATGCCAGCTCCTCTGATTAATATATTTTAAAAGACTTCTCCTTTAAGTAACAAGGTGCCATTTCCGGCATAGATGTTTATCTAAAAATAAAATATAAATAGACTAAAACATTTAAAATGGTTGCTTTATTTGGCTCAGCATGTATGCAAACATATTATTTAGATGCTAAAATGTTAACTATAAACTTATTTATTCCTTCATTCATTTAATCAATGTTTGCAATCCTTTTGTTTGACCACTTGGGGGCAGCAGTCAATTTTATCTGAACACTTGTGGATCTGCTTTTTAGTCCTACACATATGCATGAAGTACTCTTTGTTACAAGGGAGCAGCCACCCGTATATTTTCATTATATACATGAAGTACACAAGTAAGAATAATATATGCCTTTAACTGTTGGTTTGTGCTGGTGAAAAGTGTCAGTGAGCTTGGGTTAAGGCAGGGATGTCCAACTCCAGGCCTCAAGGGCCGGTGTCCTGCAGGTTTTAAATATCATCCTGGGCCAGCACACCTGAATCAAATGATTAGTTCATTACCAGGCCAATAGAGGACTTCAAGACATGTTGAGGAGGTAATTTAGCAATTTAAATAAGCTGTGTTGGATCAAGGACACATCTAAAACCTGCATGACACCGGCCCTTGAGGCTTGGAGTTGGACACCCCGGGGTTAGGGCTTGCTTCTGTGGAGCTGTAATGTGCTCAGTGCTGCCCCCTGCGCTGGCAGTGCAGAAGACACCACTGTGAGGTGGCCGGGCTACTTTTAAACTGTGTAAAAGGGAACCACAGATTCCCGTTGTCATATGATGCGTTATTATTAGTAGTAGTAAAACATAAAATGCTGACTGTAAGCAGTTTCAAAGTTACTAAGCGATTGATTCAAGAGAAAATAAACAGAAGACAGGATGTTTTTCATTTCAGTCTCAGTGATATTGTAGTTCAAAGCTACAATTTAAAAACTATATAGACAAAGTGTTTGAGTTATTTTTTTTAAACTTGTTTGCATATAGATCTAGCTTTATATTCTTTCTTATTGTGTGCCATCTGTAATGTTTGACTCAAATACCCCACAGAACTGGACAGCATAGCGAGCTCCCATCCTCTGTCAAGCTGTCACCCTTAACCCACGAAGTTCAGGAACTGTGGGATATGATGTTTGTTTAATTGTCATGTAAATGTTAGGCAAGACTGTTACATTTGGTATTTTTCATTAATAGTAGTACTATACTTGTACACATCAACAGGAGTTTGACTTCAGTTCTCATACACCGGCTCCTTCCAGCTGTAGAGCTGCTGCTGGTTTCAGCTGTTGTTGTTTCAGGCTCCGTTTGTCTGTTTGAAGGGGAAGGTGGATATAAGACTACTGTTGTAACCACAAGAAGAAGAAGAAAAACAAAACAAGCTCACCGCTGATTTTCAAAAATTATTTCAGTTGCACTTTTTCAACTTTTATTGACGTGGTTTCACGTATAAGGTTTCAGGAGGAACAAGAGTTTCCTCTCTGCTACGTTAATAATATGAACTATAGCGGCAGGACAAATCAGCAAGATGAAGAGGAGCATTGTGTCCCTCCTCGACCCTGGCTCACTTTATCTAATGTTCGTAATGGGAAACTATTTCCCTCTTCACAAGAATTCTTTCATTTCCTCGTAGTTTACTGTAAACCTGATGTTCTAGATGAATGGTTCCCTTCATGGAAATCAGTGCATGTGACAAACGCCTAATTGTTGTCCCAAGTCTGGGTAATCAGACAGACAACAATAACCGTCCTGACATTTATCAAGCACAGGATTAGTTTGGATGTAAACAACAATCACATAAAGCTCACGGGCTTAAAGTGCTAGTAAAGTATATCTATGTTTTTTGTTTTGTTTTTTTCCTCTCATGCTAGCTGAGTATGAAACACAAACCATGTGATAAAGTAAGCTTTGTTTAGCACAAAGTGCTGCCTGGCTGAAGTCCACTCACCACCGGCTGTAAAACCACAGCTTAGTCGGTTTCACACCTTGGTTTTTCGTATGCATGATGCAAATGAGATGTGGTATGGCAGTTTGCGAGTTTTACAAATGCGGGTTCTCACATTTGTTTGCTTTTTACAGAGCCAAGCTAGCAGTTTCCCTCTTTTTGTGCTAAGATAGCTAACAGCGGCCTGACTGTAGCGTAGCATTCGCTGTTTAGAGTTGTATATATGGATTCTAATTTATCGTTTTAGGAATAAAAGTGATCGATAAAATATGCTGCTTATATTCTGTCACTTTTTTGGAGTCTGTTGACTCCAAAGGTTTGATATTTAATGTTTTTGCATTGAATTGGTGTAACGAAATAGAACTGTTCAGGCCCTACAGGTTTGGAAATGATGTTCAGGTTGGGCCAGTTTGACTGCAAAGTGAAAATAAGGCACTTTAGGATCATTTTGGTTTGACAACAGTGTAATAACTCACCCCAACAAACCATTCAAGTATGTGGGAGTTTCCATCCTCTCCTCTGCCTAACGATTGTAGTTTTTTGGCCCCTCTGTTGCAGACATCCTTTCTGTCTCCTCTCGATCCTCTCTATTCCTTTGTTTTCACACTCATCTTCTTCTTTCAGCTGCTCCCTTCAGGGTTTGCCATAGTGGATAATCTGCCTTCTGCTCTGTCTGTAGCATCGTCCTCTGTCACACCAAGCCTCTACAGGTCCTCCTTCACTACATCCACGAACCTCCTCTGTGGTCTTCATTTTTGCTTTCTGCCTGACAGCTTCATGTTCAGCATCCTTTGTATATATATCCTTTTGTGTATGTATATGTGTGTGTTTGTGTACGTGTGTATGTGTGTACGTGTGTATGTGTGTACATACATGTACATGTACATACATGTACATATGTGATGTAGCATAACTTAAGCAGCAAGGAAGGTGATAAGTAAATAGCATTAGCAGACGATTGAAGTTCTTTTATTTTCCCTTTTACCATAAACAATCAGTCAGGCATGCAAAAATCCCACTGGCTTTCTACAAGACTTTGCCCATACCTGACCTCGTTAGTCCCTACCATTGAAACAAAATAGGTCAAACCAAATAATACAATTCTAAACAAAGAACAGGAATAAAGTCATGCATGAAACTGACAAACTCATTTACTCAACTAAATAGTTTGTAAAGTAAAACACTGCATACAATATAACTCAAAAGGCTACTTTAAAGAAAACAAACAATACTATACAAAATGAAAAACCCTCCATTTGGTTACACCCAGTGATGCAATCATTGACCTCATGACCCTATATAAACAGGAAGTAGTGGGCGGCCCTTCCCATACACCTGTCTCACATATAGGACCTGAATGCACAACATGGACACCATGGTAAGTATAACCAAAGCAACATAAAGAAACATAATTTACCAGACATGTGCCTGTAAACAGAAGAAAATTCAGATGATCTGATGGTTAGTAGTGTTTGCTTTAAAACACATGCATGGATGTAAAGAATGTAACTACTGCTACCACAAACAAAACCCGGGATATTGTGTGTTAAGAGAAGTTACACCAGCAATGTCTAACAAAAAAACAATATATGCAAGTGACAAATGGCAAATTAATTCCATTCTAGCCACTTTGTCACAACATACATGTACATACATGTGTATGTGTGTACGTACATGTGTATGTACGTGTATGTACATACAGGGAGTGCAGAATTATTAGGCAAGTTGTATTTTTGAGGAATAATTTTATTATTGAACAACAACCATGTTCTCAATGAACCCAAAAAACTCATTAATATCAAAGCTGAATGTTTTTGGAAGTAGTTTTTAGTTTTAGCTATTTTAGGGGGATATCTGTGTGTGCAGGTGACTATTACTGTGCATAATTATTAGGCAACTTAACAAAAAACAAATATATACCCATTTCAATTATTTATTTTTACCAGTGAACCAATATAACATCTCCACATTCACAAATATACATT